CTGCAGAAATTTGTGACCAATGTCGGTGGCAACGTTGGCGCTGTAGGGAGGATTAAACCATATCACGTTTCTGCTTCTATTACGCTTAGGCTTTGGTGGCTGGGGATTGTAGTTAAGGACGTAGCTAAAACCACTCTTTCGCAGGGCTTCCTGATATGGAGGGGCGGCCGACTAGAAGGATTCCTTATCTGAGGATATGTTTGATAGCCTCTTGTTAATAGCATCTGGTATGCTGCGTAGTATTGTAGGCGGGTGGTTGCTGTTGTGGTTGATATATAACGGTGTATTTCCGGGTTTCATATATGGCTTGTAAGATGACGATCTGAGATCAAGTGTAATGTCTAGATAGTCCACGCATTTTTTGTTGGCTTCGATGGTTATTTTCAAGTTGTTGTCACTGAAATCTTTGCAAATGCTTCTCTTAATGGTCTCGATTTCACGCGTTGTTTTGTCAAAGGCTGCACGCGAGGCCGTCATCTCTGTACAGACCGATATCATTGCCGTACTCTGCCGTTAGTTGTGAAAGAAGATAAGATACCACTAACTCGCATGTCTCAGCCCCGTCAAAGCTGCCCATGGTTACATCGAAAAGTGAATCGGCTGATGTTTTCTTTCGCCAAGTTGTATTCCTGTTGAAGAGCAGCGATTGCTTTGCTTTCATGATGATGGCTTTCTCATTTTCGGTTATTTCGTCGTATTGTGAGGCGAATACTAGGGATTCTTTCAGGAGCTCTTCCGATATAGACGGATAGAAATCTACTATTTCGGAGCTGATAAACGAGCGGGTAGATTTACTAGGCATGTTGTTAAACCACTTGATTACTGCGTCAGTATTTTTCCATTGGTTTAGTATGTTGGTAGATTTGACAATTTTGGAATTGATCCTTTGAAGGACTTGCTTGCTGACAATCTCGATCTCAGATTTCGATAGATTTATAAGTCTGCAAGTGGGGTTGTTGGAAAACAACTTTCAGGGTGATAAATGTGTCCTTTGCTGCTAGTGACTCAACACGGTTATCGATGACAAGACTTTTTGCAATTTTCTTTTCATCAGATACTATTCTGTCCGTGTTTGTCGGGGCTTTCTTGTAGGTTACTTGCAGTATCAATTAACTTGTCATATGTGGGGGCGTCCAAACGGTAGAAATTTGTAGTTTTATCGGCAGCAACAAGTAGTTTCTCGTCCGCTCTAATTTTTGACAAGTCCTGTGATAGTTTGTCCTGGAATTCGGTGTGGTGGTTTTTAAACGAAGTAACTCAAGTTTGTCTTTTATTTGCTCTACTTTTGTATCGAGCACTCTATTCTTATGATTCGACACTCAATATACTTATTGACATTCGCCTATATATATATATATATATATATATATATATATATATATATATATATATATATATATATATATATATATATATATATATATATATATATATATATATATATATATATATATATATATATATATATATATATATATATATATAGTCATTCACCGTATATGAGCTGTTCTGCAATCTGATTGGTTGGATTGTATACAGCGAGTAGCGAAAAACAAGATGGCGGTCCAAAAACTACACAAGTTTTGCGAAGCAGAAAAAAGGAAAATATTCGCTTTGAGAAAGATAATAGTACAAGGAAAAACTCTCAAAAAAATTTGACAGGTTAGCAAAATACATTTATTACATAGAAATTAGTTTAAATACAAGTTTTTTAAAGAATTAATACCGAAACAACAGCGAAAAAACATGTTCATTGAGAATATAAATTGTTCAGAAAAGTTTGCAACGAAAGACAAATGAATTTGCAGTCAACAAGCACTTACTATACTACCAAACATCTGTATAATATATCTGAGTTTTCTGTGAGATATACCGGTTCTAAAACCATTTTTTTCACTTCGTCTTCGAGTTGTAAAACAAAAGTATTTCAAATTTTCAAGGCCAAGCGGTTTTTGACCATTGTAACAGAGGATAATTATTTATGGCTTCAGTTAATGGCTATTATTCGCTCTTGTCGTATATGGCTGATAGCCGACTCGATGCTACGCACCTCGTCGGCTATCAGCTCATATACGACTCGAGCTCATGGTATAATTGTTAAATATATTGAACCCGCGACCTTCGAATTATATTTCATAATATATTATATATATTTATATAACATATTATATTATATTATATATTATATATTATTATTATATTATATATTATATTATATATTATATTTTTATTATTATATTATTATACGATGCTGTCCGAGCGTGAAATTGGCTTCTCTTTAGAACTCTCTATTGTCACCAAGTGTAAGATGCAAATTCAAGTCTAAACCTTTGGGGATAGACATACGTAGTAGACAAGTTGAAAAAATCTATGGTGATGCATGGTTATACCGTATGAGTTTGTTCCATGTGTTTTGAATAGCAAAAGGTGGAATTGTAGATCTGGACATCTTCGGATCGTAAAATCGATGCTACGACAGCCAGTAGGAGTAAACAAAATATGGTATGGATATAGTCTGGCTTGCCAACGTTGATGTCACTTGTCTGGAGGATCCAAAGGATACACGACGCTTAAAATATTATAGATATAGGTATACAGAAGGAAAGGCGAACTCGGCGAACGCCGAAGACTGGGAGAATTTCGAAAGCCGCCTACGAAGTGCTGTTCTATTTAAACAAATTAGACCAGAAAAAGGTACACCCATCAATGAGAGCCCGCAACTATTTCCGAAGTTTAAGAGTAAGTCCACATGGAGAGCCCAAGTATCTAAATCACTGCCCTTGGAGAACTTTTTACAATTGGTGAAAACAGACATAGTTGATCCGGCAAATACTAAAAAAGCATTAGACAATTTAAACAAAGGCGAGCGTCGCGCATTAGGGGGACCTTCAGCAATTGGACAGTCAATGTATTAAAATCCAAGACAAGGGATCAAAGTTCGTCATCTTGGAAACGGAAGAATATGATAGTAAAATGGATAAACAATTGAATAACCCTCTGCACTACCGCAAGTTGGATTCAGATTCGAGCTCCAATCACTTTGATGTTGTAGCAAGTTGGTGTAATAAATGGCTTGCCAAAGGAGAAATTACGCAAGATTTAGCAGGCTCGATCGCTAATGAAAAAGTAAAACCTGGTAAAGCGTTTGGGACTGCTAAAACGCATAAAGAAGGAAATCCTCTATTCCTCTACGACTGATCACGTCATGCCGTAGCACAGCTATAGAGAACCTCTCAGCCTTTACAGACTTCTATCTTAAACCTCTTTCCCAGGCCCTCCCGTCCTTTATTAAAGATACCACGCACTTACTACAAAAAATATCCGAATTGAATGACACGGGTCCATTTCCAGATGGAACACTATTAGTTTCCTGTGGGTCTTCTAGCTGTAACACAAGCATTGAACTCTCGCCCAAATCAATTTCCATCAACTGAATGCATCGTCGAAGCTGTTAAAATTTGCTTTGCACATAACAACTCTAGCTTTGGGAAATAGCATTATCTGCAGATTCACGGAACAGTCAATTTCCAGAGACGAACTACTGCAACATACCACGAGAGAGAAGAGAATTTTATTTCCGTTGGTTGTCGACTTCAACCCCAGGCTTCCCGATATAGGAAAAATCCTGAAGAAACATTTTCACCTTATCCAAGATTCACCAGAGTTACAAGAGATCTTTCCACCTAGATCATCCTTCAGAAGGCCAAAAACTATCAAAGAAATTCTTTCTACGAAACGACGGCAGGAAACGAGCGGGGATCAAAGTCCAAAGGGGAGTTATAAATGTGGAAAGAAGTGCGACATTTGCAACAACTACATGCATGAGTCTAGTACATTTGTCAGTAGTCAGACGGGGGTAAACTGTAAAGTACCCAATTAAACAGAACATTTGTTGCAATTCTCAAAATGTTGTGTACCTAGTTACATGTATTAAGTGCTCACGGCAATACATTGGATCCACGAGCACAGAACTGAAGGTCCGCTTTCGTAACCACAAATCCACGATGATTAACAATAAAAGGACATGTGAAGTAGCGACGCATTTCAACAAAACACCGCATGATTTGTCTGACTTGAAGTTTATATTAAATCAGCATCGAACAATACTAGTTCTGCAAGTGTTATGTTAAGTTGTGTAATTGTACACTCCGTAATATGTTAAGATGAAAATGTTCTAGAGTGTGTATTATATAATTTCCATACCCAGCGTAAGCAGAAAGATGTTGTCTGCCGCGGCCGAGTCTTGAACCCGCGACATTCGAATTACTAGATCGACGCTCTACCAACTGAGCTACACGGTCAGACGGATTTAAAACTGGAAATTATGAAATATATACTGAATGTCATAAACATACTCGTTTATATTAATTCAGCATCGAACAATACTAGTTCTGCAAGTGTTATATTGAGTTGTGTAATTGTACACTCCGTAATATGTTAAGGTGAAAATGTTCTCGAGTGTGTATTACATAATTTCCATACCCAGCGTAAGCAGAAAGATAAAGTCTGCCGCGGCTGGGTCTTGAACCCGCGACCTTCGAATTACTAGATCGACGCTCTACCAACTGAGCTACACGGTCAGACGGATTTAAGACTGGAAATTATGAAATATATACTGAATGTCGTAAACATACTCGTTTATATTAATTCAGCATCGAACAATACTAGTTCTGAAAGTGTTATGTTAGTTGTGTAATTGTACACTCTGTAATATGTTAAGATGAAAATGTTCTAGAGTGTGTATTATATAATTTCCATACCCAGCGCAAGCAGAAAGATGTCTGCCGCGGCTGGGTCTCGAACCCGCGACCTTCGAATTGCTAGATCGACGCTCTACCAACTGAGCTACACGGTCAGACGGATTTAAGACTGGAAATTATGAAATATATACTGAATGTCATAAACATACTCGTTTATATTAATTCAGCATCGAACAATACTAGTTCTGCAAGTGTTTTGTTAATTGTGTAATTGTACACTCTGTAATATGTTAAGATGAAAATATTCTAGAGTGTGTATTATATCATTTCCATACCCAGCGCAAGCAGAAAAATGTTGCCTGCCGCGGCTGGGTCTTGAAAGGTCGCGACCTTCGAATTATATTTCATAACATATTATATATATATTTATATAATATATTATATTATATTATATATTATTATTATATATATTATATATTATATTTTTATTATTATATTATTTTTATTTATATATATATTTTTTATATTTATTTATATATATATATATATATATATATATATATATATATTTATATATTTATTATATATTATATTATATTTCATAATTTCCAGTCTTAAATCCGTCTGAACGTGTCGCTCAGTTGGTACAGCGTCGATCTAGTAATTCGAAGGTTGCGGGTTCAAGACCCAGCCGCGGCAGACAACATCTTTCTGCTTGCGCTGGGTATGGAAATTATATAATACACACTCTAGAACATTTTCATCATATATATATATATATA